AGCCATCTCTTTCCTGACAATTCCCTTTGTGCATATTCTCTTACATATGATAAGTCAACATTGAAACACCTGCGGCTTTTAGTCAGGTGCGGCTAATGTATGTACAAAACAGGATTCTCCCCTGATTGTAGCTTGTGTGGCTAATATTCAAGTGCGCTTTGTAGTCCGGGGAATACGGTAAGTCTGCAGAAATGAGCCCGTCATATCTTACATCATGGACACACATTTGCATTAAACACACACACAATGTATTTAATTTTCTAATTTGAATAGACACTAGCTTGCACATGGAAAACTTAATGCTCTGTGAAATGCAGCATTACTTCTGTTTTGCATCTGAATTCTCTTTACATGTTTGTAGACAGGAAACTATATTGTGTTCAAAATGTGGATTACACAACGTTACCTGCTTCCACCTTCCACTATGCTTTAGTCTCCAGATATTTATTATCCCTCTTACTTTATATACAGATACCAAAAAAAGTTGTCTACATTGTATTGATTTGCCTTTTATAGTGCAAAAATCCTCTAATGTCACACATATAACACGCCCAAATGATGAAATGATGTTTTAAAAAAAATAAATGGTGTATTGCCAGCCACTATACGAAGAACGAGCCTAAAACCAGTCTCTACAAACAAAGTTTACAGTGCACAAAATAACAGCAAGCAGCACAACACAATGCAATTCAACAAGGTGCTTACAGAGTGTTTAGAACAGTGCAAAATGTAAGCAACCAGTTTCCCTCTCCACAAAAAAGTTCCCTAGAGTCAAATGCCCAGTATTAAACTCAGGCTGCATAAAACAGTTCTCAATGTAATGACACTTCTTTAAAAAAGTAAGGAGAACATCACCACACATGCTTTAGTTGGGGTCAGCACTGTAGGTGTCACCTACAACTGAATTATATGTAAAAGTGCCAATCATATAGCGCCCAAACCTTATCAAAAGCACTGCTGATATATGGTGTAAAAAGCCCTGTTTTGATTGGTCAACCCGCTCCCTGTTTCTACTCAATTCTTCTGGCCCTGGAAGGGCTCAGAGAACTGAAATGCTGCATATGACAGTTAAAATGAAGCCTGTAATACAGATGAACATGATCAGGTCAGATCCATCAGAGCTAACCAGATAATATACAATGAAATTAAGTAAGTACAGAATGCAAACGTTTCCAATGCTGATGTTTCTGATCCTGATCCCATTTGCCTGTCTTAGTCTGTTGTAGGTGATGGGCTTAGTAACAGCAAGGTAGCGCTCCACACAGGTGAGAGTAGTTGAAACAGAGCCTGTCCCAAGCTTCTGATTCGCAGAAAGCATTGGACCACATGTATTTTGGGTGTAACCACCACAAAAAAATCTCAAAAAAATGTTTTGATCATTTTGTAAAAAAAATTAAGAAAAGAAAAGGAAGTGGAAAAAACACTTCAACAGCACCTGTTTTTGTTGTTGGATTCACTAAACATAAAAACAATAAGCTTTACATTTTTGGTTAATCAACTTTTACTTGACGTACAGTCTTTAACTTTAAAAACAATTTCTCATCTTTCTTTCAGGGTCTCTTACTTTTTTGTTTTTAATGTTTTTCTTGGAGTAACTGTGCCTTACAGTATCAGATGGCTGAATGCTAAAA